TGCCTGGAGGTCTTTCTTTCACAAGTCCTGTTTGAGAGGGAGCACGGAGGTGGAGCGGAGGGTGAAGAAATAAACAGCCTGTAGTGTCGCCCCCTGACAGGGTTGGACAGAGCCTGACCTCAGGGCAGTTTGGAGCCAAGAATTGAGTCGAATTTTAAAAGAAGCAGCAGCAAAAATAACCAACTAATCTGTAAATAAACAAGTCACACACAGACACAGACACAGAGGGACACACGGCGCGCCTCTGACCTCTCCTTTTACGCAACGACTCCGTGCGTAAAAGTCACAAACTCCAAAAGCACCTGAGTGATTGACAGCTGTCGAACTTACTTGTCGTACTCCGCGTTGTCCTTGTCGCAGCGCGCGTCCTTGTGCTTCTGCCAGTCCTTGCCGTGCTTGCAGGTGGTCAGCAGAACCACGTCCTCCGCGTTGTGGACGTGATATAAGGCATTCCGGGTGTCGGAGCCGATGCCGGTCAGGTACCGCTTCCCCTTGAACACCAGCACGTACTTTCTGAACGGCGGGATGGAGTTGTACTTCAGGTACCCCCGGTCCCCGCCGGTCCGCGGGTGGTCCTTGGAGAAGAGCGGGATGGAGACGTCAAATCTGGGCCTGAAGTTCTCGGTGCTGATGCTGGCTTTGGCCAACATGGCCTGGCCGATGTCGAAGCCCAAGTCTTCCGTGTAGTCCGGCCAAGTGCCCGAGTACAAGTTAAATATCAGGTGGTTCCTGCCGTCGTTCCACAGAGGCAGGTTCTGCACCTTGGTCTTCAGGTTGTGGACATACTGCGGCGAGAGTTGGTCCCTGTCCAGAGTGTCCAGACTCAGGACGAACAGACACGCCTGTCCGGGGTCTGAGGTGTAGAACCTCGAGCCCTCGATCGTGGATAAAATGTTCTGATAACTCTCGGAGATTTTCTCTCCTTTCTGCTGCGGGTAAACATAAACTTTGAATCCGTTCTTCTGACACTGAGAGAAGTCGAAGCACGAGTCCATCCGGCACCGTTTGCCTTTGTAAACACTGGTGTTGACGTCCCGCTTCTGGGTCGGCGATATGTGCAGGTTGTACTCCTCCGTGTCGGCCTGATCCCAGGGCAGGAACGGGTGTAAGGGGTCAGAGAAGTGCGGCCAGGGCTGGTCCGGCCGGTATCCGTTCCGGCTGCGGTCATGCCGGCTCCTGCTCGCCGCTGGAAGTGGAACTCCTCCGAGGTAGAAGAGAAGCACGAGACACGCACCGGCGGAGAGCAGGATCAGGTAGCGTTTTTTGGCCTGCATGTGTCCTGGGGAGAGGGGCGCGTCGTTCGGGAAGAAGAAATGCAAAGTAGCCCCCGAGTTAGGCTCTCACCAAGCCCGGCTACACGGCTCCATCCTCCGGCTGCCTCCACGGATCCAAGCCAACCCCCCTTCTGCGTATTTGCTTCCCAAATCCAGCGATTGATCCAGTGCATGTGGGCGATTTTAAGAGTGGTGCCCGGGTCTCCCTCTGCTGTAGAGTTCCACCATAACGCACGGCGTCTCCCTGAACCTCAAGACACCGAACCTGGATTTAAAAAAAAAAAAGAAGAAGAAGAAGAAGAAGGGGGAAAATCAACAGCACAAATCCTCCAGGACTGGGCGTCTTCCCGTCTTCATTCAAGCCGGCGCCGTGAGGGGCTTTTCGGATGGAAAAGTGTCCTGACAACGGTGTGGGAACTCTTGTGGTCCCCCCCTCCCCCTTCCAGGAACGGGCAGGGGTCCCCGAGGCTCTCCCAGACGCAAAGGTACCCCGGTTTGGATGTGGAAGTCGGCGGCGCACTGACCTAAGGTAAAAATAAGCTCCGTCTGGCGCTCGGATCCAAATACCACGGGGTGAGATTCGTCCGGTCTGCCCCGGGTCTTCTATCGCTCCATGGTCCCAGGGAGAGGAGCGGCAGGAGGAGACGGAGCGCAGGAAGGCAGAGAGGAGGAGGAGGAGGAGGGGGGAAGAAGAAGCTCAGTGTAACCTGACGAATCCCTGCATTTCTCTGTTCTATTCCTCACTGCCTCCCCGCATTCCCAGGCTGGTGTGAAATAAAAGCCTCATCCGCGGAGCTCCAGCCTCGCAGCAGGAGCAGAGCGGCAGCAGGAGGAGGACTTCCCCCCCGGATCCGGACGCTGCGCTCGGGCTCCAGGCAGAAACGCGTGGAGAAGGAAAACCGGGATCCAGACGACGGGATTCCTTGATCCTTGTGTCCAATTACTGAGTGCTCAGTTGTTCCGATTGTTGGTCGCTAACATTCCAATCCCGACACGACGGCAGCTGACGCGACGGCCCATCCAGGCGCTCCGCCGCCGCTGATTGGTCCGTGTGAGCGCACGGAAGGGGCGGGACCTGAGAGTGGATTTATGCACCCATTCATAACCGGTGCTTGTGAGTGTGTGCGCGTGTGTGCGCGTGGAGGATATAATGTAAGACTGTTGGATAAAAACAAATATCTGGAGTTTAGTTTGATTTTATATGAAATAATGTTTTATATAAAGTCCTTTTCTATCCATATTTATCGTCCTCTCCTTTCTGTCCATTTCTGGTGGCTCTTCTCCTTTCCTTCCTTCCTTCCTTCCTTCCTCCCTTCACACCATCGTTTCCCCAAATTATTTTCTTCTTCTTTTTTCTCTCCTGTCTTCTTCCTTCTTTCCTTCCTTCTCTCAGCCTTTTCCATTTCCTCTTTCTTCCTTTCCGTACATGAATCCTTCTCTCCTTTTTTCTTTCCTTGCTTCATCTTTACTTCTTTCCTTCCATCCATCCTTCCTTCATACCTCCCTTCCTCTTCCCTTCCGTTCTCCACTCCTGGGTATACCACATCCAAGTATTTCATCAATCCACTCCAAGTATTTTTGTGTGTTCTGGGCAGAATACACAAAAGCGATCTTTTCTCTACTGCTGACATTTTAACGTGTTCTTCTCGGTCATAAATTAAAGGAAATTTCATCTGGAGTTCATGGAAGATTCAGGGACGTGAGCAGAGACACGTGGCTGATGTGACATTACATCAGAAGTTAATAATGATAACAACGTGATCAGAGACGCCGAGGCTTCGTCCAGCGCATCAACATCAACGTCAACATCAACACCAACACCGACGTAAACATCTCTGCTGTGAAACTGATTCAAACTACTTCAAACTTTGACTCTGTCAAAGAGAAATTTGCCACTTCCTGTTTCCCCCCCACACCAGTCAAACTACTTCCTGCCTAAATCACACTGACCAAGTGACTTCCATTCAATATAAACCCAGAGTTGTCAGAAAACCATGTCCTAACAATGTTATTTCACATTTACTGTTAACATGGAGAAAATATTTAAAAAGGAGGAAAATGATGGAGAAAGAACTTCTGTTTAGAAGGGAAGGACAGGAGGAAGGAAGAGAGAGAGGGGAAAGAATGAAGGAAAGAAGTGAAAAGTGGAGGAATGATTGGGTTAAGGAAGGATAGAAGGAACGAAGGAAAGACGGGAAGAAAAAAAGTTGTCGAAGGATGAAAGGAAATAAGTTAGGAAGGAGTAAAAAGTATAAAGGAAAAGATGAAGAAAGGACAGGACAGAATGAAGGCAAGAGAGAAGGAAAAAGAAAGAAAGAAAGAAAGAAAGAAAGAAAGAAAGAAAGACACAAGGAGATGATGAAGCAGAGGAGTGAAGGCTGACAGGACAGGACTGAACTGAACTGGTCTCCAGTTTTCACCTCCGTCATTCAGGGAGCACTCAGCACTACAGTGTCCCACACCACGGTGGACACAGGGGACAGACTGAGGGAGCTGTGACACCGGTGTGTGTCCTGGTCTTTGTTGCCGATGTGAACGACCTGTTCCAGAAACGCAGCTAAACGCAGGTCTTTTCAGACTCCTGTGATTAACACACACTCGGTTTCGAGTGTCATTTAACAAGGAGACAATGTAACGTGTCCTTTTAGAGACGCAAGCAATTATGACAGAAGCACCGGAGGCGTCAACAGAAGCCAGGCTGGGCATAAAGACGCAGCTGTGGTCGTGTTCCTTCACAGAAACAGGCGGAGATTCCATTTCAACACCACAAACTGATGTTCCAGTCAGCTCAGGCACGACCAAAGTATGGGCAAGGGGCCAAATGTGGTACATGGGCAGGTTTCAAGTGGCCAATAACTCATACAGTATGTAACATTTGCCAAACAAGTTGTGACAAATAGTTATTTTTACACCTTTTTTGTTCTTATAGATATATTTTGGTCATTTTGTTTTGCTGATATTGAGTTGATTAACATGACTTTCCAGACATCTTTTAGCTACTTATGGCTAATGTGGAGCGAAGTTTTGTCTGCAGACCAACTGCTCCCTTTGTCCTTTAGCTTTTAGGGCATTTCTCTGGGCTAACTTTGTAATCTGCTAATTTGTTTTGGACATTTTGGTGATTTTTTGCTAACTATTAGCTTCTAGGCTACGTTTCTTTAGCCACTTTTCCTCAGTACAACTTTGTCTTTTACCAATTTATCAGCAATCAGATCATTATACAGACACTAAATACATACACCTGCATTTGTTTGCAGTATTACTCCAGTACTGTGTGATATTTGTATTCACCCTGAAGAGCGACGGCTCTGGGTATTTTAACAATATTCCTCCTGAAATCAGTTTGAGAAACTCTGATAACGCAGTACTCACCGTGGCGTTCAAACCCTCCGATACAGATCACTTCACACTGGATCCGGCGAGGACAACGGGTGGGGTGGGGGTGGGGGACAGGCGCAGTCCTCCGGCAGAGCACCCAGAATCCTCTTCATCATCATCCGCATATTCTGACGGGCAACGCTGGCCGGCCGCAGGATTCCTGGCCGCTCTCCCAGCCTGCCCGGCTAATTAGTCCCTCTCTTCTGAGCTAATTGGCCGATAAAAAACGAGGCCGGCCTCTTCACCCCGCCTGAGTGTTGTGCCACCGAACGGCGGTGCAGGGGAGGATTATGTGGACTTATGAGGCATGGTGACACTCAGCGAGAACAAGTCGCCGTCCATTAATTCCCCTGACAAACAGGTCTGCTCTGCTGTGGCGCCCCTGTTGGTGGAAACAGAAGAAAAAAAAGACAATAAACGTCAAAATGTCTTTTCATTTATTAAATTAGTCACAAACACAGTACAGGAAGTACTGAACCAGTCTGAGAAATACAGCAAACTAATGAGGGAAATACGAAAAGGGAAATAGGAAAATAAGGAAGGAAAATTTAAGGAATGTGAACAGTTAAAAGGAGAGGGTGAAAGGGGAAGGAAGGAAGAAAGTCAGGAAAGGAGAAAGAGAGGAGGGGAAGAAGGAATGTAGGGAGTGAGGAAGAAAGGAGAACTGATGAAAGGGAGGAAGGAGGGTGGGACAGAGGGAGGAAAAAGGTGAGGTAAGGAGGAAAAGAGGAAAGAAAGACGGGACAAGTAGAAGGAAGAAACAAAGGAAGGACGATAGGAGGGGATGGAAGAAGAACAAAAACACAAAGAGAGACAATGAAGGAAGGAAGGAAAGACACGTGTGTGAATATAAGGAAAGATTTCTGAACTAAAACCAAAACTTCCAGATCTGTCCTCTCTTCCTTCTTTTTTTCTAAACTCAGCAGCGTGTACATCTGACTGTGGACAAAACTCCATTTGACCCGAGGCCAAAACATGTGTTTATAACATATGACTGTAGGACATTTGAACATGTGGACATGTTTAACCCTGTATAAATGAGTAAACTAGGTCCCTCCACTCAGCGACATGTGGACATCAGGACATGTTTAACCCTGTATACATGAGTAAACTAGGTCCCTCCACTCAGCTCTGCTCTCCTGTTGCATGTGGATCACATTACAGCTCCATAACCTGCGTCATGTGACGACTCCACGTGTTGGCAGCGGTGACCCGCCCGGGCCAGCGAGCTGCCTGAGTGACCGCGTGACTCTGACGTCGCCACTGATAACGACTGCGTGTAAAGCACGGGCATCCGTGATAAAGACGCTCAAATTCAGGCCGCGGTAAACAAATACCCGGGGCTGGTGGGTAATCTGTGGGCCGAGAGGCCGAGACAAAACAGTCTTTGAGAGTCTTGGGGCTGCTGCTGATGGGCCGCCGATAAAACCAGCCTCTGGATGATGTCAGCAGCTGTGGGCCGCTGCGCTGACAAAGAGAACAAACATACGTGTGTGTGTGTGTGTGTGTGTGGTTTCCAGTGTGTGGTTTCTGCACCTGGACCAGGTTCATTTCTGAGACATACTTTCAGTGTGTGTCCTACAAAGTGAAACTGTTTCATTTCATCTGGTCTACACACAACAATGAATTAACTTCTTTTTTTTTTTCTTTTCTTTTTTTGGCCCAGGATCTGGCAACCACGATGTGGGCTACAAATAACTTGAATGTGAATGTATATTTGTCTAGTCTAGTTTTACAGGATCTGGCAACCACGATGTGAGCTACAAATAACTTGAATGTATATTTGTCTAGTCTAGTTTTTGTAGATACTGGACTGAAAAACACCGTCTGATGTGTCAAAAAAAAAAAACAGGGCCTCAGGAAATGTTAAATTATGAACCTCAGTTTGGAAATCAATAATCAAAAACCTCCAAAAACTCTAACCACAGCAGTGAAATGTGGCAAAGATGTGGCCTAGTATTCTTTGGTGGCCCACTGGGCCAGGTAAAGTCCAGCTTTAGTTTGGTTTGAGCTCAGCAGAGATGTGGCCCACAGTCTGGGTCTCAGACCAAAGGTGGAACAGTAAGAGTGAGTCACCAGTGGAGTTTCTCCTTTGAAAGATTTCCACCACGGCGTCTCTTCAGACCTGACAACAGACGGTCTGTCGTCTTAGCTACGTGGTCTCACAGGGAGGATTTTCTCTTTGTTTTCATTTTGTTATGTTTTTTTTTTTAAACTGCCTTAAGACGTTTGACTTTGAAAACATCACAGTTTTTTTTCTTCATCGTCTCTTCTTCAGTTTTGTCTTGTTCTTATTCTGACAAACTCAGTTGGACGAGACAGGATTATTACCATACTGTGATGAAGTGCCGGTCAGAACGTCGACCCTGACACTCAACCTGAGGCTAGTGATGAAATTCCATGTTTTTCTGTCACGTCTGGCAACAGTAAAAAAAACCAAAACCAAAACAACAACAAGAGTGACAACAGGGTCAGACGTGGAGCCGTAGGAGCTCCGTCGCTGACGCGGCCGCCGCGTCGAGAGTGAGTGAGTGAGTGGGAGTCAATCTGGACTCTGACTCTCACACTTCACCCTCACGGACCGCTCCGGGCTACGGAATGCTAAACGCTGCACAGCCTTGGCTTGGCTTTCAAAGCTGCTGCTGGTTCCGTGTGTGGGACGCTCACTGATCTGGCTCTTGTTTTAATTTATTTATTTAAAGTGACCTTTCCACTCCTGGAACTGAGTGGGGTTTAATGTTCGGGAGGAGAGGGGGGAGAACGAAAAAGGCACCGAAACCTCCTCGGCTTTAACCTTCCGAATTCTTCTGGGAAGCGCGGGCTGGCGAGGCGGCATCAAATGAAGCGTTTCAAGTCAGACGTGGTGCTAGGTTTTCGTCCTCATTAAAACAGAAATCCCTGCC